CCAAACTATTCATCCATCATGGTTTACAGACAATCTTTTTGGTTAAACTTTGACCTACCATACTTGCGGTAGTTGTGTTTTCTTGAGTAATAACTAGGGAACTTTTGTTTTTACCTCTAAGTAAAGTGGTTGATATTTGTGGTTTAGTCAGCAGACTGGTTCCCAACAAGGGGATTTCTGGGGTAGGATATGGTGATTCTCTCTGTGTAGGCTAAAAGGCCCACCAGAGAAAGGTTTAAAGGTCTGTCCTGTAACGGCATATCAAAGTGTTGATCCGTGTGACAGACACATGTCTTGTTGAGCAAGAAACTGAGCCCATACCTGCATATATGTTGATGTAATTAATAATATATGTCAAAGATATGACTTCAAAATTCCCAGCAGGTGTTGCTCTGCTAATGCAGCCCACTTCTCTAACTTAGGGCCATGATGTTGGGAGTCATGAGGCAGGAAGCGTTAAGAGGTTCAGTTCTCTGGAGAGCTGAGGGAGAGACTCACTCGGCCCAGTGGACCAGAAACCCAAAAGCACAACAGTGTCAGGTTCGGGACGGGCTCTCCCATTGGCCGGTCCTCGTCTCCTGTTTCCACTTGGGCCACTGTCTCGTTAGGGAAAAAAAATCATCGCTTGTCCATTAGCGCGGGGCTCTGCGAGAGTTTAGTGGCTCTGTGTTTGTTTTTCCGTCAAACGAAGGAGTGGAAGGGTGTGTTTCCACAACCTGTCAGACGGCCATCACAGCGCTCTCCTCCGAAGCCTCCTCACCTCTCTGCTCCTCTGCTCAACACATATGTGTTTTCTCTCCTTTTCTTTTACAGGTCAAGGGTTGCCACTTAGACCCGCAGAAGAAAAGCACATGTGACACTGGATCCCGGCAGGGCTAATGGTCATTACTCGGTAAGCAGTGTGTCATGGCCTCAGTCGCGTAGATAATAGGTCTGCAGAGTGCCTGGGTTAAACCCACAGGATCAGGGAGTGGTTGTGACTGTTGTCTTTGTTGATCTGCAATCAGTCTCACTGTGACACATATGGCTGTAGAACCTGCAGAGATAAAGCCTGTCGTTCCGCTGCAGGCTGCACAGAAATCTGTATGACTTGGAAGTAAAGTGTTACATGCACTGAGATTACTAAAAGGCTACCCGTGAAAGCTGACAGTTACTGCTAAATCGCTATCAGATGTGATATTTTGAGAAATAAGTGATTCACCAGAAACATGCATGTGGGGGGGAAATGGTGAGGTTAGAAATAGGACAACACTCATAACCCGAATGCTGCTCTACCCCACTTCAATACATTATTTAGCATATTGAATTGACTTCTAAACCAACAGGTTGTTTTGAAAGATATTCCACTTCCTCTGTCCCTCCAGACGGCAAACTTCCCAAACAATGATACAAAAGCTACAGGCTGATAATAGTCAGGAAGGGATTAGAGACGGGATGAGAAGGCCTCTTGTTAACACAAATTATAAAACACATCCCCATCATTAATTTAGGAATTTCATTGTTTTGGAAAACAGAACACTAACTCCCCACAATCCCACCTGTGAAGCAACCGACGAATCACAGAGAGAGAAAGAGAAAGCACAGAGAGTTGAAGGCAAGACAGTGAGCTGTGTTTCAATATGAATAGCCTCTACCCATCAGAGGAAGGTTTAGAGGTCTGTCCTGTAGCAGCAGGTCGAAGGTCAGATCCCTGTGACAGACACATGTTTTTTTGAGTATTTAAGCAAGAAACTGACCCCATACCGGCGTAGGACTCATATGTTGATGTAAATATTCAAGATGTATGTCAAAGATATGATTCTTCATTGTCACAGCTGCTACACATTTGTTTTTTTATTTATGTAGTATTTTCTGTAGTATTATTATGTTCCTCGGGGGGGGTGGAAACAGACAAAATACAAAGGTTTCAGTTCATTACAATATTATTTAAGCCTGGGCGAATTTTATTCTAGCACAGTTAAACTGTATAAAGAAAACATTTTAGGAGATACTTATTACTTTCTTACAAAAAGTTGATGAGGGTCGATAAAATCAATCCAACTTTCATGTCCGTACGGTTTAAGACGTTGCTGTAGCCAGCAGCTGGTGAGCTTTGCTCAGCTTAAAGGCAGGAAACAAGGGGAATCAGCTAAGTTGTTTAATGTTAACAGAGCAAACAGTACAAATTAGTATTTGCTGTTTCACTGAGGGTTAGGTGTTGGACTATTTCTTATCGGGTAGCAGTGAAATCCTCATTGGTTTCCTGAATTGGTTCTGATGAAGAAGTATACCGGTAGTCAGAAATATAACCCCAGTAAAACACAAAATATTCATTAAACATTCTTTTATGTGTCTGGAAGTGAGGTTTGGAGATGCTAGTTACTGGATTTTGTAACATTTGGGACGGATGCAGGCTCGTTGTTTCCAGTGTTTGTGCTAAGCTAACCATGTGTTGATCTTCTCATCTAAATGCATATTTCCCAAAATGTTGCTTTAAATTCGACCACCATGCACTTCTGTTCCTCCTGGGCTTATGCTCTCACCATGGGTCACTAGAGAGACAATGAGTCCCTCCACTGACATTAAAAGTGCAGGTTTCAACAAGGAGCATGTTTCTAATGTAGCTCTGGTATTTTGGTGTCTGAAGGATGTTAAACATTCCTATATGTTTTTCTACAGACAGAGCAGCCTGTGAATGGCCCCTAACCTAACCTCATCACTCAGTGTTGACCTCAACTCTTTTCTGGTGATTAATTATCCCTCCCACATCACCTTGTCACACTGCAGCGATGCAGTCATGCATGCGTCTGCGTCGCTGCAAACCGCTCTCAGCTGTGAGTGCAGATATGGGATTAAGCACAGTTGGCACATCCAGTACTATTTGCTCACCTCTTTCTCAAACAAAGAGGTAAACCAGCCACTGATAACACGTTTTACAAAGTGTACATGCCGCCACATTCTCTTGCTCAACGGCGAGGGTTAAAGGTGAATAAAGATACTGAGAGTAAATCTACACACCTGCAGTATCCTGTTGAGCAGGAAGCAATGAATGAACCGGACACTCTGTCACAGGACTGTTTCCATATTAAAAAAGCAACCTGCTGTAAAATGTGATGAAGTAATGGAAGTTTCTTTTTTTCTTTGCCACATATCAAAGAGCAGACGACCCCACCACCCTAAGACCTGCTGCTGGAGGTTCAGAAACCCACTTCCTGCTACTTCATCTCAAGGTGCTTCGACACACACCACCACACAAACAGGAAACAGCCCTCTTTTGTGTCCCTCAAACTGCACGCAGTGTACGTTCTTCTGTATCAGTGCAGCAAAGTGTGCTCGAGTCATACTTACCTGGTTTAGGTTGATATTTGGAAAACTTTCTATTATATTTTGTAGGACAAAATGTTGAGAATTGATTCACTTTGACACAAACTAGGCTTGCACGTTTAATAAAAGGTGATGAAATATGAGCAAAAGCATGTTTATTTACCAAACAATGTCTATAGATTAAAAGGATATTCATCCAGTCAGCCCAAAAACGTTGACACAGATAGAGAAACGTGCAGATTTTCTCCATTCATAGTAATGTTACTTAGTCAGCTATATCTTAATTCTTTCATCATAACAAATGCACTGTTGCAATAAGGTACTTTTTTGTTATTTCTTCACTACTATTAAAAGGTTACACATTGTAGCAGCATGTCATGAATTCAGTTTGTTGTCCACATGTTGTTGTATTTTTAGTCAATTGATCTGTTTTAATTTACCGGTAGGGGATGTAACAGGGAGGCAGCTTGTTGATAGATGGGGTGATGGATCAGGGGGGGGGGTGTTGTTTGTGGAGGGTGGTAAAGGAACAAGACAACCATCTAAGGTCCAGGTTCTCTGAAGCAACACAGAGGCCTCCACGGGTCAGCTGTGAGGGGTCAGCACCCACCATTGTGTGGAGGGAAGGGAGTTCCTGTTCCGGCTCATTTTTGCAATCTGAGAGAATATAAACATGGACGCACGGAAGTGTCCGGAGAGCGAAAGCAGAAGCAGTGCGGATGCTGACTGCAGTGTATGAAGGGGAAGCTGCAGTTTGTTGTTACTGAAATCAAATACCACTGCTTATATCAAAGGCAAAATAGATTTATGTATCTATGTACACATTTATAAATGACAACACGTGTTAATATAAACAGTTGTTTTATCCCATACTTAACTGGAATAGCCTCACATGAGTATTGATGAGTTTATTTGTAACCTCAGGACAACTGATCAGATGATAACCTTAGCAAATTAAACTTCTTCTTATTCTTAGAAATGTAACGATTAAAGCGCTCCTGATCAATATTTCTACTGAAACCGGGAGTTTATTGTCTTTGCGTAACCAAAATCATCCCCAGGTCAATACCCCTGACTGCTCCTGTGCACCAATCACTTTCCACAACAGTGAAACTCCCTTTAGTTCTGCATTATGCAGAAAAGCAGCCACTTCCATTTCCCATATTTCACTTTAAAATAGAACATTTGTAAACAGTGTCCTATTATGTAAAGCAGGGATGACTCTAAAGTATTATGTTGCTGTGGGCTACCTCTAAGTCATTTTTGTTTTGCTAAAATGTGCATCAATAAGTATACCACATGAGCTGTTTGCAACTTTTGTTAGCAATGTACCCATGAATTTAGAGAACTATCACTGGATTACTTTGATGCTAAAGAAAATGTGACTCGATCATGACTCCAAAGCACACTTGAGATATAAGAGTGTATTTCTTTCTATGATTTCTAAGTGGCGTTTTAACTTTAACACTTTAAAACCACCTTTTTAAAACAACTGAATTCCCTGAAGGCCTAATCAGTGTGCCCATGTTCAAATAACACCAAACATAGGGTCCTATGAGAAGTTTAAGTAACTTGACAACATATATATGACACATCTTCATAGCACTGACTAAAGAGTATATTTCAAAGAGTCATGCATGCGATGAACTGCTTTTAATGTGTAGCTTTCAACCCAAAGTACAACACGCAAAACACAGTTTAACTTTTCAAAAATACGGGGTTTATTGACTTAACTGCAATCAATACTTACAAAAGACGGGGGAAAACAGGTTTTCATATAAACTCACAGAATTGCTGTAGTGAAAAAAACATGGCTGAAAAAATACATTCAACTGTTTTACTTTCTTTGAGTCAAAATCTGTGTACCTCTTCCGAACAAGTGAAGGCAACACAGAGCAATTGACTTAAAAACTAAAACTTAATTGTCCTCCATTTATCAAATATAAAAAAGGCAGAGAGGCCTTAGCTACCTGGAATGTATTCAAAGAGGCACTTCCAATGGTCAGAGGGGGCCAAACAAGTGCATCAAGCATCCAATCAAATTAAACTTTCCTCAACCCATTTGGTCACAGCTATTGCTTGTAATAACAGACTGGGTTTAAGAACATTACTGACAGAAGACATTCAGAATTACCAGTCTCTTAAATCTCCTCTGATGTGAGCAACCCATTACTTCTACCATAAACCCAAGTACTGCGAGTAAATACTCTGATCTGGAACCAGATCTGAGACAAAAACAGACAAAGTGAATCAATGTGATAACAGTTAGCTACTGTACTGTCGGATTATTGTCAGGTTTGAAGGGGGAAAGATCAGGAATGAATACAAGCCAGTCCAATAAGAAGGAGTAAGAAAAAAAGTACAATAAATAATCAAAACGCAAAACAGCTTTTGTTGCATTTTTTTTTGTTGCTTTAAATTAAGTTTCATTTTTGACAAAGTGTAGTTGCAGAACAAAAGTCATTGAAGTACAATATATTAAACTGTGAAAAAAAGGAAAACTGACAAAAACGTCTTCACAATCTTTAGATTAATATGGAAGATCATAATTTAACATAAAAGAAAATATATTCTATTGTTCATTATCCAGATAAATACAAAACAAAATTAACAAAAAATGCATATGATCAGCAATAAATATGTTCTGATAAGTTAAATAAGCAGTGACACGCAAACTTTCCATCTGGAACGCTTTTCAAAACAATAATAAACGTAATAATAACAACATTAATAAAAAATAATTATCAAGTAAAGAAAGCAAAAAAAAAAAGGGGATGTAATGAGTACAGAGTGCTCCTCAGAGCAGGTACTAACGTGGGGGAGAAGTAAAGTAAAATAGCTTGGAGAACCGATCTCATCCAGTCGCAGGATGTACAACTGCACCATGGGAAGGCTGGAATTCCCCAGATCAGCGAGGATGAAGGCGGGGGGGGGGGGGCAGGGTTGAGAGGCGGGACAAAGTCTTACAGGTTTAATGATCAGTTTGATAACAAGACTTCCTTCCCAAAAAAAAAAAGAAGAGCCAGTGACCAGCAACAGGAGGGGGGGGGAATCATAACCAACTTCCAGTTCAAAGTCCTTCCTGCAGACTCACCAAGTCCACAATTACATAAGACTTGTGAAGAACTGTGATGGGGGGCAAATGAGAAAGAACCAAAAACAAACAGTAGTCCATTCACCATAAACACATGCAGAAACCGTCCAGGCACTTTTCATTCTGTTTAAAAACTATTCATATCTTTCAGGGTCTTTATTTTTTTTCCATTTTGTCTCAACTCGGTCTGTAAAAACGGCTGTGGTAGATCTTAAGTTACGTTAGTGAACACCCTCTAGCTAGCTCAGGGGAAGTGGTATCGTCGGGGGAGGAGGGGGGAGAAGGTAGAGGGTGGTGGGGGCTAGTGCAATGCACTCCCCTTTCCAAGGCCACTTGTGCTGCTACACATTCAAGAACAAATGAAGAAGAAAGAAGAAAAAAACAAGTGGCACCTGGCAAAACAGTCAATTGTTGTTCTCATGATTTTCATTGTTCAATTTCCTTTTTTTTGGCACTATGACACATGGAAGGGTACTTTTTAAAACTTGCTGTGCAGATTGACAGGGATGAAATGATAGTTTGAGTTCAGAGAGAGTTCCCTTAATTGGCTGCATCATTTCAATGCTAACAAACTGTTGTGTGAGGGAAGCTAAGAAAAGGGCAGAGGTAGAGGGGAGTGCCGTGTTCTCTTTGTGTCATCGAACTTAAAGTCACTGGGTGCAGTTTAATCATCAGAGATGGAGAGGCGGCTGAAGATGGGCAGGCGGCGGGTGGTATCCAGCGTGGGGGACTCTGAGCCGCTCAGGCTGCCTCCAGAGCTGCTCTGGTAGCCCTCTTGGTCTGACAGGGAGTCGGAGGGAGGGCCTTTTGTAGACTCGAACATCTGAGGGGACTCCAACATGGGCCTGAAATAGTATGGTGTGCTTGTTGGAGAGGGAGGTGCAGGGGTGTTGGGCTCTGTGCCCACAGGACCCACGCTGAGGCTGGGCCCGAACAAGTTGGCCAGCTCCTGGCTGGAGTAGGTGAAGGGGTTACTGCTGGGCCAGTCAGGGACCTCATCAGGGAAGAACATGGGTGGAGGGGTGACGGAGGTGGGGCTGTCTCTCAGCCCCCCTGAGCTGGAGAAGCCTGCGAAGCTGTAGCTGTGCTGCAGTCGAGGCCTCTCCATTTTGTTGGAGGAGTTAAGAGGGGAGCACTGCTGGGGGGGTCCTCGGCGCTCCTCAGCATTGTGAATAAAATGGCAGCGAGGGCCGTACGGGCAGAACCCGATGGTGTGGAAGGTGCGGCACAGCTCCGTTTTGTATTTAGGGTGGCGGCTCAGGCTGCGCAGTTCATGGATCCCATGAGCAAACTGGCATTTGTCACCATACTTGCAGGAACCGTTCTCCTCGAAGGGCCTGCAAAGCTCCGTCTTGTAGCGGCTGGAGTTCACCTGGCTGCCTCCGGTGGGACTCGCAGGGCCCAGGCACTGTTTGAGGAGGCGCTCGCCCGTCTCGGAGAAGGAGCGGTCGCGCATGCGGTTCTCCTTGTTGTTGCTGGCATTGCCAAGCCCTGAGATGAGTGAGGAGTGGTCCGCTGTCTTCAGGCTGTTCAGAAACTGGTTCTGGTTGAACTTTGTGCTGCTGACAGAGTGCCGCCGCTGGTACACGCCCCCCATCGGGGGAGATCCCACCGCCTTCCTGTCCAGCAGGGCTCCGGTGGGGCTGCAGATGGACACATTAGTGCCAGTGCAAGGGACAGACATGGGATGGTGGGATCCCAGGTTGTTGTTGAAGCTGAGCAGTTTGTTGTTCTACAAAAGACACAAAGAACACACATCATGAGTAAAACATATTCAACATATTCTCCAGGACTGACAGTCAATGTGGTTCTGATTGTAATGAAAGCTAGTGGGCCAGAAAGAGAAATCCACAGCCTCCTCTTGCATGACTGTGTTCTTTTTGGCTCTGACAACACAAGCGGATACAGGCCTATAGACCAGCAGCTGGTTTGGCAAGTTGCCCTGGTTAGGAATGTGTGCCTGTTTGGTAAATGGAGCAGCAGCACATGAGGCCACAGGGCTGTTAGTGGCTACAAAGAGCCTGCATCATTTGAAAGATAATGAAAGTGGCAAAGCATCCTGCTGAATTACAAGAGAAAACTGATCTGCCATTCAATACACATCCAAACTACAGGAGATAACTGGGTTAGTCACAGATTTACATGAGTTTTACAAGCCACCAGAGTAAAATCTACTTAAAAAGCCGCGAAGAATAAAAAACCCTGTATGAAACATGAAAATATATGCAAATGAAAACAGTGCCGTGAAGTTAACTGAGCATTGACCCGTAAACAGTTTTGAAAAAAAAGGGATTTCCCTACAAATATTAACAAGGTTAATCATAGAAACTGGTTTATAGGAGCAATCATAGGTAAAAGCAAGACAAATCTAGTCAATGATTAGCGAGCATGTGGCTGCTTTGTGAAGAGTATTAAAAGTGGCGCTAAACTGCTCTCATGAATCAACTCAAGCTGACGTCTGAAACTGCACCATAACTCCTAGGCAAAACTACAAATTAAACTAAAACTGACGTGGCACATGCTGGAAATGAAAGTTTTACATTTCAACAAGTGTTTACACCTAATGTGAAGTTACCAGCATGCATCGGCACACTCTTCAAAGTAAATAACGATGTTTAGACAGGAAACAACATGCACGAATAAGCAAACAGTCTTAGCCAAAGAGAGGCGGAAAACGAATCAAACCCGCAAAACAAAACAAGCCTCCACAGAGCCGAGGGACGCGGGCATGCAGCTCATCATTCCTCCACAGCGACTAACCCTCTGCTGCTAACAGGCTAACACACACTACAGAGAACCAGAGACAGGCACAAAGTTGTGAAGCTACCTTGTTCATTATTTCGAAGTCGAAAAAAGGCGACACCACGGCTGTGGTCATCTTTGCAACGACCAGGGTTCAATCGAAAGTAATACAAAAAAACAAAAAAAGTGTGGTTGTTGGAAAAGTTGCGCAGGTCTGCTGAGTTTCTGATTTGCAGCTCCTGTATATTTTTGACCCTGCAGAACTCCCCCTCTGCCCTGCACCAGCCCCGACATTTGCTTTTAATCCTTTGCAGGAGGAGCCTCGAAGCGCTGGGCGTTAACTTTCAGTCAACTTTTTTTTTCTCGACTGAGGGGACAAACTTGCAGTGGGTTGTCAGTTGCTTTGAGATTACTACACTGTTGCACGCAGTGTGAATACCAAGCAGTTCTCGGCTTTATTTCTAACCAACATGAAGTAAAACTAACACACTTTATATCCTCAACTCTTAAGTAAACTATATTAGTCAGATTTGACATAAAAAGTGATTATTTAGACTTATAGTACATTACATGTTGTGTTCATTAACTTTTTTAGAGGTATAGTGTCCTAACTTTTTATTGACAAAGGAAATACAACTAACTTACTATCAGTAGATCTTAAAAACCAGTAGCAAAAAGTAGGTTACAACTTGATTTCCGTCTTTTCTTTAATAGAAGTCTGGTACTCAAGCAGTCTGGAGTTGTTTACTGGGAGGCGCTTCACTGTCCTCAGGGTTTCAGCTACCATCCACTCTGTAATTAATTTACTCTTAATTGCTGGACTGTAACGTCACTTGTGGGACTTTCCGGTGAATTCAGGCAGCCTTTTAACTCTTTCCCGACCACAGCTATTTTCCTGTTAAAACGTTTATTCTCCTACTGTTTCTATTACATCTCCTCTTCCTCACCAGCTGGTGTGAACTCTTCTGATTATGTGCAGGGATGTGTCATTCCATCAGGTAGGCGATAACCTGATATACGAGTGAGCTCACCAGATTCAACCGCAGCCGGTGACAATGATGTTTGCAGAAACATATGAAAGAACTGGTTTCACCTATACAAAGTCTATTGTGCTCCCTCTCTCCCTCCTTCTCTCTGAATCCATGACAGAGCAGCCATGGGCCATGTGCAGAGTCAATGTCAGGGTTGGGTTGCAATAGAAAAGAGAGGAGGTGAAAGAAAGGCAGGGTTGGGGGGAGAAGAAAAGAAGCTGTTAACGAAAAAAAAAAAAGTAGTTGGAGGAGGGGATGATGGCGTGAGGGGGAGATTTATGGGGGACGTTTATTACTACAGAGCGCTGCCCCAGGGAGGTGAGGGAAGAGGGGTGGGGAGAGAGAAAGAGGCAAAACATTCCCTTTTCCCTTCCTCTTCTTAGCCTATACAGGAGCAGCACAGGGGGTGGAGAGCTTTGTCTCAACAGCAGACGTGAAGGAGGCAGGGGAAGTTGTTTTTGTAGTGAAAAGTTGAATTTAGCTGAGTTAGAAAGAGGCCAGAAACAGCACTTTCATTTCAAACATTTCTGATCCAAGTCTGACCTTTGAGGAGCTAATGTTAGGCTCCCAAGTAGATGTATCTTTCTGAGATATTCTGGACCCTGTCACAGCAAAGAGCGAGGGTGTGTTTTAACATAAAAAGAGTTTTACGAGCCGGGGCTGTTTGGTGTAATCTCTCCCCCCTCCCCCCTCCCCCCCGAGTGTTTTCACAGACGACATGGTGGGATGACAGACTCGCTGGAAATCACGTCTGCAGTTCAAAGGCCCTGTCACTGATTGATTTAGTAGATCGGATTGATCCTCTGAGGAGAAACTACAGCAGGGATGTAGAAGGGGAATAACCATTTTTTATTTGAAGCAAAAAACTTTCTTGTTTGTTGTAAAAGGTCTTAAAGACATGTCACACATTAAAGATCATAAGAGCTATTTAAGTCGAATAGAGAGCCGGGACGTGATCCAAGTACAAATTTGAACTCTACAAGGTCAGGGTGCAGGACAAAAAAAAACCTGATATGAAATGTCTTCTTAACCTCAAGAAGCCCCCACACTGCAGTTGTTTACTTTAATACTCTCAGATGTATCGTGCCTGCCTGATATTGTGCGGAGGAGTCGTCCTTCCAGGTTTAAGAGGAGGCACCTGTTTCCTGCCAAATGAAAATGTCTCAGGGGATATTATCAGATGTGTTCCTGTTTAAAACATGCAGACACTATACGACATCATTTTTCACACAGTGCCTGGCAAATATCAGCACATTTTTGTTTTGTTAAGAAATTATGTATGTTGAAATGCATCCGTATATTTGGGATTTGTTGACTGCAATGCAAACCCTTCTTGTCCTAAGGTGATTGGTGCACAACCAACGATCAAAAAAATCCAAATATGTTCAAGAACAAAAGAAAATAAGTTAATTCCCACGAATGAAAAGTTAGAAGTTAAGATTGTTCTGGCTTTTTTTGCCTGAAAATGACTGAAATTAATAAACCAACTATCAAAGTAAATACAGATTTTTGGTTTCTTGATTGAGTCATCCAAAAATATGACTGATTGTTTTGTTTTGAGGAATATTTTTTTCCTGACCCTTTATTCCACTTCCCAAGTTAAAAACACAAAAAGAAACAAGCTATATCTCTGCTCTCCTCCTGCAGGATGTCCCTCTCACTGTTAAAGAGTGGAGCTCTCTCTCCTGAGACTTAATTTCTAAGGATTTGTGCTCCTCGAGGTCAGAGCTGTCCTCCCCTGGCTCATCAGTGTGTGTTGTTGCTGCAGTCAGTCACTCCTCAGCCCTTGCTGCATGGCTGATTCCTGCCTCCTGCGCCGATGACCCCCTCCTTACAAGGGAGGAAGAGGCTTGAGGTCACTGATAACATTTAAGTGGGATGCCTGGATGTTAAATATTTTATCTCCCCGAACAGGAGAAGAAAGAAGTCATGGGGAATCTCGGCAAATTGGAAGTTGTCCGTGGTGACAGTGTGTTGAAGCAACAGTTTACTGTAGTTCCACATTAACGCCAGCAGAGGGCGGGTTTTCCCCTTTCCTCTTGTTGCAGCATTTCCTTTTTACTCCCTTCTCTTTTTACTGTAATATCTCAATACTTCTCCAAAGCATGCATTTAGCTAATCAGAATTGTGAGATTAGACACTTAAGTCAGCACAGTCAAACTCAGCTCTTTCCTCGTGTGGCTTTGAGGTGAATTAGGACTCAGCACAAGCCTTTGCATTGTGTAATCAGCCTTTCCACTGACACACTAACTTTATGGCCTTGTGTGAAGCAAAGAGACTTATCAGCTACACAAATGCTCAGACTAGTTGTGGGGTAATGTCCCGCTGTGCTCCACTACATCCCACTTAGTGACCACAGGCTCAGTAAAGGACATTTTAAAAGAAATAAGTAGTATTTCTTAATGCCTCAGGGTACATCATGTGTATTCTGGGGACTTTTTGGATGAATTCTACTGACACACACACACACACACACACACACACACACACACACACACACACACACACACACACACACACACACACACACACAGTAATTAGAAACGTCACTTCTTCACTTTAATGTGTTTTTCATCTTTTACATTGGAGTGAAAATATAACAAAGTTATTCATGTCAATCACAAGCGAGCACCCAGTGATTGAACATTGGATACTTTAATGGAGTCTATATATTTGACTTTTCTTTACTGTTTATATTTTGTTTATCTTTTTACTCTTTCCTAATTCTGCAATCTGTTTCCTATCATGTTACTGCTGCACTATCATTTCCCTTGTGATAAAAACAGTTTTATGTCTTAAGCACAAGTAGTATTGCCAGAATGTAAAAAATACTTTGTTACAGGCTAACGTCCTGAATACAGAATAAGGGTAAGGACAGAGTGTTATCAGCAATGTTTTGAATGTTTGCTTATGAATGCTTAAGATGTGTAAAGTTAAAGTACTTTAATTAAAGGAAAATTCTGTTGAGTGTTATATAATCAAATAATTTCATCATTGGTACAAAATCTTTACATATTTAGTTGTTGTAGTTGTTTGAGGTTAAGCTGATTTTAACTACTTTAAATACAGGGAGTTTAACCGATAAAAATTGAGTTGATATGTCATTAAAATCTTAGGATTCAAAGTGACCTAAGATATACCGTTTTTTATTGTACATGTGATTTGCTGCCTTCTTGGCCAGATCACAAAATAAAGGTTCAAAATGTGAAATTAAAGTAGTCCAACATTAAGTACAAAAAGACTTAATATGGAAATACTTGAGTTAGGTCCAAGAGCCTATATTTTTTTCTTACAAACATTACTTCACCACATTAACATTTGACCACTGGAAGCATGATATGATACAGAAACTGTCCTATTATAAGCCATAGATTACATAACCCTGCGATAACTTCCCATTTTTTCCCAGCATGTGAGCACGTCTTTCTTAATACTGTCAGGGCAGATAGTTGAGCAATGAGAGGTCAAGGAGAGTCAAGTTAAACAAGCTTTCATAAATATGTTGTACTGTGTCGGCCCACGCTCGCATTAACACCACGTGGGGTTTCCTCTCTGTTTACATTCTCTTCCCAACATCCCAATTTGCGTGATCCGGTTCTTGTAAGCTTTGACAGCCAGGGCATCCATGATCGCCCCCTTTCATGTCTCATGGTATGTTTGCCAGTTTCATATGGGAGGACTGTGGTCATCTTGTAGGGTGAAACTAGCCTCAGAGCACGGGGTGAGGGAACGAGGGAACAAAATGAGAACTAGAAGCGATTAATTGTCCATAAGAGTAGCCACAGCATTGTTAGTGGTGAACCGCCAGCTGCTCTTGCTGATGTCGTTCCCATGACTCGCTCCAGCGTGCCCATCCTCTCCACTTCCACTGCCCCTCCGCTCACACTGGGTGGGATCATCAATGCTCGGCTCGGCTCATTTGGATTGCTTCGACACGTCACGGCATTACATTCACGATCAAAACAAACTCCATTTTGGAAATGAAAGCCCCTGTCATGGCCAATTTCGCAGCAAAACAGAGTATTAAATATGATATTTGGTTGTGAATGTAGCAACAAAACAAGAGAGTGTGGGGGTTTAAAGGAGATTAACTGTCCGATTCTCTAGAGGAGGGTTGTATTTAGAACGAAAGGCCAGCTTCCTCCTCTGACTTCCTGACCTGCGTTTCCTGAGGAACAATCTCTGTCTGTCCAGAGGGCTCATGGGAAGGGAGAGTTTGGTTTTCCACTGGCACACCAGAGGTCGC